CCACAACCTGTATCCACAGCTCCCAGGACTGTGGGAGGCAGCAGGCAGTGGCTCAGGGATGTGGGTCCCTGCCAGCCTCCTCTCTGGCCTGGCTCAGCTCTAGCTGACAGAGGCATTTGGGAAGTGAATCAACAGATGTCAGATCTGTCTCTACCTTTCCAGTAAAGCAAAAAGTAATAAACATTTTTTCAAAAGGAATCATTCTAGCTCCCACTGAAGGAGTACTTACTCATTTAACAATGGGTGCACTGAATCAGAGAGCGCTGAAAATGTGCAAGGACAACACCACTGACCAGTGGTGGACACTGGGACACGAAGCCTCATCTCTGGCTCTGAGGACACAGGTGGCCCTCATGTCAGGCTCCTTGGAGTCCAGCGCATCTCCTACTGTCCCTGCTGATGGCTGGGAGGTGGACCCCTTAGCTCAGAATCTCCTCGCTCACTGGAAGAACTCAGAGCTAAGGGTGGATGCAGCCAGCCTCGGGCCCTCCCCTGTTGGCCTGTCATTCCTGAGTGACGCCATGTGTGCCAGGCCAGGGCCACCCAGTATGGCTTTGCTTAGAATACTTCCCTCCTGGACAGGCTGTTGTTTTTGTATTATTTGTTTTTTGAAAAGTGGAGTCAGAGACAGGCAGAGAAACATTTTGCATTTGCTGGTTCACTCCCCTGAATTTGTCTGCAACAGCTGTGGCGGGGCCAGGTGGAAGCCAGGAGCCTGGGACTCAGCTTGCATTGCCCACACAGGTAGTAGGGGCCTGGCCACTGGCACCATCACCAGCTGGACCAGCCACTTGTACCATCACCAGCGGCCTTCCCAGACGTATAATAGCAGGAAGCTGGAGTTGGAAGTGGGAGTCAAGACGTGAACACAAGCACCTCAATATGGGATGTGGGGGTTCCCCACAGTGTTAACCTTCTGTGAGACAGACCCATCCTCCAAATCACTGGTGTCTTTCCACCCCTTTCCAGGGGGAACTCTTTGGGGTCATTTAGTTCGAGTCTGAATGCGATGTGGCAAATGGAGAATGTTCTATGCCTGAGGACAGGTGCATGACACACGCAAGGTCCATGTCCACAGTCAGATCAGCGTATTGGGTCAAGGAGTGAATAGGTGACTGACTGGAGCAAAGAATCTTGGTCCTCAACCTGCTGGCAGCTTTAGAGCTGAATGTGGCATGACTCAGCCAGCTCTGTGCTGTAGCACCATCACACTGGCTGCCTGTGCGAATGCTGGGTGAGCTCCACCACTCGTGGCAGCCTGGACAGGCAGATGGCAGGAGAAGAAGGGGGATTCGAAGCACATTTGGGGTGTGATGACTCAGCTACAGCAGATGGAGCTTCCGGAGGAATGTCTGTAGGGGTAGTGCTGGCCACCCCAATGTCCACGTCACAGTCCCACGCAGCACAGGTTGCTGGAATGCCCGGGGTAGGTTTCTCATGAGAAGCAGTGCTCAAGGCCTCCAATGAGTTTGAGCTCACCAGCCCTGCTCGTGTCTCCCTGGGTACTGGGTGGGGATGGCCTTGCAACTTTGAACCCAGTAACCAAGGCGGGCTATGTGTCCCCTTCTGGGCACTGTGCCACCACTGTTGAGGAGCCAAGGCCAAGGTGGGTATTCAGGTCTCTGGGGGACACCATTGTGTATTTCATATTTCATCCCAGACCTCAAGGTCATCCAAACTTAGTGCAAAGGTCCCTTTTGCAACTGGAAGGGCCACCAGCGCCTCACCTCTACCATGTAGCTACCTGTGTTTTGAAATACAAAATGCAAAAGGGGACGTCCTAGTGGCTGGAGTGTGCCTCAGGGCCTGGCTCCTGCCTCCTGATTCACAGGGCCTTGTTCTGCTCGGCAGGCAGCAGGACTGCCAGCCATACCTCCTGCAGGACTGTCACAGCCTTAGGAGCAGACACCTGCCTGTCACATGTCCTGAACCAACTCTGAGCCTGCTTCCTCCAGGTGTTAACGAGGCTGTCCGTCTCTCTCCATCTAGGTTCTCTTTCCGGTCAGGGAAGCAGATCTAGGTCAAGGCCACGACTGAGGCCTGCAGAGCCAACACGTTGTACCCGTTCGCACAGCCCACTGCTGCCCTTTGGTGCAGTCTGTGGAGGAAGATGGGGATCTCCCAGACTTTCTCCCTGGCTGCCTGGCTGGATGTCCTCAAAGCTTCGGCCATGGCAGGTGAAGCAGCATCCAGGAATCCAGGAGGCGGAAGGAAAGCGCAGTGGGGCTCCCTCTGCCATCTTCCTGGCACAAGTGTGGCACGTGGACAGGCACACGGACATTCCAGAACATTCCAATGGGGGCGTCACAGATCCCAGGTGGGCATTAGATTGAGCCTTCATGACTTTATGTGATTTTTGTATTAAAATATAAATGACTTTTATAATTTCTATAGCTGTTGGGGCATGATTTTCTAGAATTTGGATAATGTGGGAGATATTTGTGTCTGTGTCTGTAAATCAGCCTTTCTGATAAAAACACACGCATACAGATATATATGTGTGTGTATGTATATATATATATATATATATGACATTTTATTCATTTGTACAGCAGTAAAGGAGGAGGATAGATCCTCCACGTGCTGGTCTACTCCCCAAATGGCTCACAACGGCCAAAGCTGGGCCAGACGAGAGCCAGGACCCAGGAGCAGCTGGGACTTGAACCAGCAACTGTGTGGCATGGCAGGGTTGCATGTGGCGTTTACTCGCCATGCCATGACACCTGCCTCCCATCTCCCTTTTAAATACATACAAACAAGTGATCCTTCGTGGGGCGGGGAAGAGAATGTCTCCTACCTGCAGTGGCCAGAGCAGGGCCATCCACTGGGCACTACAATGGCGTTCCAGGCTGCTGGCTTCAGCCTGTCTGGTCCAGCCCTGGAACGCACTGCCCTCTCAGCACTACGGAACATTCTCCGGTTCATGCTCCAAGTTGCGTTAACGGCCACGGCTGGACCCAGCCAGAGCCAGGAGCTCGGTGCTCCAGCTGGGTCTCGTGCAGGGTGGCCCCATGCTCTGCCCATCTCTCACTTCTCAGGTGCGTTAGCAGGGACCTAGGTTGGAAGCAGCGCAGCTGGGACTCGAAGCCTGGATCACAGGCCATGCTTAGCCCCTGTACCACGATCTTGCCCTCCTTGGGAGTGACGTTTGAAGTCCAGCCTGGGCACCAATCCCATTCAGGAACTGCCCTTGCTGCAGTTGCCCTGTCTACAGGGCACAGGACAATCATATAACTTATCAGTGTTCTGCCATCACAGGCCTTATTCCAGGCTCGGGGGTGGAGGCCTCCCTGTGTCCACACAATGCTTCTGTGTAGAGTCGGGGCAAACGGACCCTTTCTGGAAGCAACAGTTCCATGGAGGCTGCAGGACCCCAGGAGGGGCCCACACAGGATCCTGGGGTGGGCTTTAGATCCAGCCTTAGCCCAGCTCCTCATTCCTGCCTCCTATTAATGCGAGGGTACAGGGTTCCTGCACGCTCATGAGAGAGCCAAGACAAGCCGGGGCGCCCAGTTGGCCTAGTCCAGCCCTGGCTCTTGCAGACATTTGAGGAACGAAGCTCCTTCTCTGCCTTTCAAATAAATATTTTTGAAACTTTCTAGTGAGAAATGCCTGGGGAGTGACTCAGTGGAACCTGAGTGGGCGGGGCGTGGGTGTTCCAAGCGATAAGTCCTGGGAGTATTTCTTCTATACACAGGCCTGGAGGAAGCCACAGAGAACAGCTTCTGCGTCCCCAGGGTCCTGCCACTCCCACTCTGCACACACACCCCCAGCAGCAGGGAACAGGTCAAGAAGCTGGGTTTTAAGCCAGTTTTCACTCAAAAGGTACAAGTGAGTGCCACAGCCATGGTCTTTCAAAATTGAGCAACTCAATGAGGACTCGGGAATATTGGTTCCCGTCACTTAGGAACAGGAAGTGCCTTCATTTTGATCTGTGTCAGGCTGAAGTCCAAAGGCCTTTTGTGTCGGGGGCCCACGATGGCAAGAACGGAATTCCAGCAGACCACACAGATACCCTTCCTAAACACACACATACAGCTGTAAGGATGCCTGGTGCCCAACTCCTCTGGGTGTTTGCAAGGTAGATGGGCAAGTGCCTATGTGGTGGACACCGGCAGAAAGGGGAGTGAAATGAGGGCACATGGCCAGCTACCACTCAGGGCCAATGGTGACCCCTACACCAGGGACCGTTTAAGTACCCACACAGTGGGATTGTGGGAGCTGTTGGCGCATGAGACAGGGATGGTGGGCAGCCTGAGGATTCTCCTGGCACCGGGCAGAAGTGGCTGATGCTGCCCCAACATTCACATATGAATCAAGTCAGAGACAACAAAATGAGATTGATGGCCAGTGGCCCTCAGGCTGCTAAGTCCACAACGTGGCAATACCACGTGTCCACAAGCCCCCACCACGCAGATGAGGGAACATGCACAGCCCTGCCCGCCACATGGCCCTCCCGTCACACCTGCTCTTGCCACACCCACGCCAGGACAGAAAGACACACAGATGGTCTTGCCTGGCAATAAATATTTTAATTTTTCTCATTTCATTTTCTATGATGACAAGTAAGATTCAAGTTTATTTCCTTTTGTTTGCTTAAATACAAAGCTAGACCACAACAGGTACAAGCAGGACGCTTCCTCCCACACGGACATGCGCCCGTCGGATCCTCCTCCAACTTGCTGCCGCTGGGCAGGCTGGTGGGGCAGGGGTTGGGGGGAAGACTTCCTTAGGTAGCACCACCGTGGTGAGCCTGGGGCGAGGGGGTTGAGGCACCGGGCATGCAGGCGGGCTCTCCGACCCGTCTCCACGCTCACCTGGGACTGCCAGCATGTGTGGGAGCCCCTGACCTGAAGGGGGACAGTGAGAACCAGTGCCCGCTGGGGAGGGAGGGAAGCCTCCTCCTGCCATGAGTCTGTCCTTGCTGCCTGACCCCAGCTGGGGCGGGACGGACATCCCAGGCTGAGGCTCACACTTCGGTTCATGGCTGCGTCCTGCGGGGAGGACGCCAGGTGGATGCCAGGTGAGCAGGGGTGTGGGGTACTCGGGTGAGGAACTTCTGGTCCCACTACAAAACCTTATTTGTGATTAGAGTACCATCTGAGATCTCGCCTACAGAAACGAACAGAGAAACCCAGAACAGAAAAAGGCAGCCACCACTTCACTCACTTCAAGATCTATATACATGTAAGTTGTTTCCTGTGGTTTTTTTTTCCTTTTCTTTTAATTTTTTTTAAGCTTTTTGAATTTTTTTTTTAAAATAAACTCAGTGTTCACATTTCTATAAAGAATTAATAATAACCCAGTTCTGGGCACTCTGCCCCGGCAGCATGGGCAGGCAGTGCCATCCCTGCCACCTGCCTCGAGTCTGCCCACCGGCCCTGGTGCTCTGGGTGTGCCGAGGATGGCAGGCCCTGGAAGAGTCGGCACCCGGCTGGCCCCGTGCTGGCGGGCCACGGGGCCAGGAAGCTTTCAAGAAAGTAGAGATGGGAAGACTAGCTTACCAAGAAACCCTTTTTAAAAAATATTCATACACTTGAGCGCGCGCCTGTCAAGACGCTGGGAGAACAAGAGCTTGGAGGCGCCCCGGCTGGGGGGCAGGGGCTGTGGGGTGCGGAGAAAGCGGGAGGGCCCGGCCCTGCGTCCGGAGGCAGGAAACCCCGGCCGGCTTCCTGGTCCCGTCTGGGACTCTTTCCTCCTAAAACCTGTGCCGGGCATTCCATTCATATGCAAAAAAGGTACAAAAACCAACTAGAATATAAAAGTTTTGGTAATATAAGGCCATCTGCTCAAGTCCACCTTGGAAACCTGTAACAGATATTTAAATACTACAGTGAAAAGGCATCTTGATATACTTTTTAAAAAACATCTTAAGTAATCCGCTAAGATTAAGTGTAAAAAAAAAAAAAAAGAAAGAAAAGAAAAAGCAAAAAAACAAACACAAAGCAAACCCATTCCCTCGGAGGAGGCCATGCGCCACGAGTGGGCGGCCGTTAGTGCTTCAGCCAGGGGTAGGCTTCGATGGAGGCCTTGCTGCGGTCCCCGTAGTCGTACAACAGCTCCTCCCCGGCCGCAATGTCCCGCGCCGCGACCAGGATGAGGTGGGGCACACCGGCGATGTCGTGCAGCTTGGTCTGGCAGTTCCCGCACTTGCTGTGGTTGATCAGTCGCCCCAGGCGGTTGGTCTCCCGTGTGGCATCCACACTGCAGTGGAAGCAGGCAAGGGGTAACAAGGACAAACAGGTAGCCAGGTGTCTACCCTCGGCCCCTGTCCCTGTGTAACTTTCAGGCTGGTTTGATGGCTAAATTGGATAATCCTCTCTTTGCAAGTGCCAGGATCCCATATGGGCACCGGTTTATGTCCTGGCTGCTACACTTCCAATCCGGCTCCCTGCTTGTGGCCTGGAAAGGCAGTGGAGGACAGCCCAAAGCTTTGGGACCCTGCACCCATGTGGGAGACACAGAAGAGGCTCTTTGCTTTGGATCGACTTATATCTGGCTGTGGTGGCTGCTTGGGGAGCCGTGAAGCTCAGGGGATGTGAGTTAGAACTGGCTATGGAGATAAGGATGGGGGGCAACTGCAGAGTTATAAAGCAATGGGTAACAATCCACTCCCCCAGCTGGCCATCCCCGCAATGCGCTGCCTGGCAGGTCTGATATGCCCACTTGTGCTGGCTGGAGTGACCTCCAGGGCAGTGCCTGCTCTGCACGTTATAAGCAGGAAGTGGGCAGGGCACTGCATCACAGCCCCAAGAATGGCAGCCAGAGTCACAGGGCACTGCGGCAGCTCCCAGGCCATGGCCCGCAGCAGGTGGAGAAGGAACCCTGTGAGGAGGGGAGGGGGCAGAAAGGCAGACTTACCAGTAGGTTTTGCTGAGATACTGGAAGTAGTACATGTAGCAGCCCGTGGAGGGGTCCTGGGCGTACAGAGCCTCCCGCTTCTTGGCGTCCGTGATCTCAATGAGGTCCCCGTGGTATTCCACCACAAAGTCGCCCCGGGAGAACTGCTTGGTGGCGATTACGCCCCTGCCTTTGCCGTCGATGAGGTCAATCTGCCAGGAGGAGGTGAGAGAATGTGGTTCTGGACATCAGTGGCAGGTGCCGGTGCCATGGCAGAGCAGGCTAATCCTCTACCCTGTGGTGCCAATAGACCATGTGGGTGCCAGTTTATGTCCTGGTTGCTTCACTTTCTACACAGCTCCCTGGTTATGGCCTAGGAAGGCAACAGAAGATGGCCCAAAGCCTTGGAACCCTGAACCTGCGTGGGAGACGTGGAAGAAGCTCCTGGCTTTGGATCAGCTCAGCTCCAGCGACTGCGGCTGGAGAGTGAACCAACCAGTGGATGGAAGATCTTTCTTTCTCTGTTTCTCCTTCTCTCTGGAAATTTGCCTTTCCAATAAAAACAAATCTTTAAAATTATTGATGTTATTGAATGAACGTTATAATATTTGAGCCAGGGGCTCTTCCGGGTCTCCCACGCAGGTGCAGGGTCCTAAGGCTTTGGGCCATCCTACTTTCCGACTGCTTTCCCAGGCCACAAGCAGGGAGCTGGATGGGAAGCAGGGCCGCCGGGATTAGAACCGGCGACCATATGGGATCCCAGCACGTGCAAGCTGAGGACTTGAACCACTACGTTATCGCACTGGGCCCTCAAGGTGTATTTATTTGAATAGCAGTTACTGAGACAACTCCTCCATGGACTGGTTCACTCCTCAAACGCCAGGGCTGGCTCGGGCTGAAGCCAGGAGCTCCAGTCAGGTGTCCCTCACAGGTGCAGGGTCCACACACTTGGACCATCTGCTGCTGCTTCCGCAGGATGTCAGCAGGGAGCTGGATGAGATGCGGAGCAACCAGGACTTGAAATGGCACCCACATGGGATATTCATGCAGTCAGGGAGAACTTAACTGCTACGACTCAGCCCTGACCCCGGAGCAAGACTCATTCTTTGAACAGTAGATACTGCCAGGCAGCCATCAGCACAACCCTGAGTACATATCTGCCCATCTGCATGGCCCTGTGCCCTAGCTCCTGTGCTGCAGAGGAGGAAATGCAGGCCAACGGGGCATGACCACAGGCCCAGGGCCACACAGCTGGGAAGCCTGAGCAGGGACCCACCAGGCCACTCAGGCCTGCAGGAGGCAATTAATCCCTCCCAAGCTGTGCATGTCTGAAAACCGGATGCTTTGGGATGGCCATTTCCCAGGAAGCGGAGCTTCGCATACAGATGACTGTGTCACTAGTGCAGACAGACCCGGAGGGCTGCAATGACACGCCGTGTGGCTGCCCAGACAAGCAGCAGCTGCTGACAAGGCAGGCTTCTTGCAGAGGTGTGTGCTGGAACCGGGCATCTGAGTGCACCTTGTGGCATGCAGCTGTCCACGTTATGTTACGGCCAGATTAACACAGACAAGCAAAGCCCAATCACGTCCCCTGTGTAAAACAAGTCCCCGGCAGCAGGGCTGCCTGGCTCAGGGACATGGGTGGAAGGCCACAGGCCCTGGCCGCCTGGGGCAGACAGTGCCCTGGGCTTACCTTCATCCCTTCTTCTTTGCCGCTCTCGATCAATTCATCCAGTCTCTTCCTCTCTTCAGACTGGGGTGGGAGCAGGAAAGAGACCGGCGTCAGTGTTCTGGGTGCTCCAACCACGGGTGCAGCGGCCAGGCCCAAGGGGTTGCAGCTGGCCTGTGACAGAGCCCCTGACACGGCCCCCGGGAAGACACAGTGGGGGTCCCAAAGCAGGATGGAATTCAGAGCTGGTCTCATTTGACCCAGAGAAGGGGTTGGGCACACTCTGGGGGCCACACAACCAGGGTCCTGGCTCTGTGTGCTGTGTCGCTAACAGCATTTGCTGCCTGGGGCAGGTCAATATCACCCTTCCAGCTTCCTGTCCCGCAGGCCAACGCCCTCCAACTCCCAGTCCTCTGTCCCCGACTGGGGTACCCTATCACCCTTCCACGGCATAGGAGATAGGAGAACAAGAGGAATGCTGCAATCTGTGAACCCCAAACCTGTGCGACCCATGGCTGGGCCCCGATGCTCCTGCACACAGCCTATGTGAGACCACACCTCTGTCACCTCCAGGCCAGTTCTGGCCAGTTCTGAGCATCCTAGCAAAGAATTCCAGCAGCACTCACTACCAGCCCAGAAACAGGAAGGGCTTGGTCCCAAGCATCCCCGAGGATGGCACACGCTGGGCATCAGGGCTGAGCTAAGGCTCAGAGACCCTTTGAGGAAGGGCTAGCCAGCCAGGGAGCCCTGGGGTTCCTGGGACCTACATGAAACCTCACCCTGAGTCCAAACCCCGCAGCCCAGACGCCCCTTCCTGCCCTGGGCCCCACCCAGGGTCCCTCCCAACACCTGGCGAACCACAGACTTCTGCCCGCCCCAAGAACCTCAGCCTGGGCCCCACAGGGCAGTTGGATCAGGCCTGGTTGCCCCCCTTCTAGGGCTACTGGGAGCACTTGGGTCTTTCCCTACAGTTAGAACATATACCAGGCCAGCTGTCGTCATGCTGTGTTGGTCGACAAGAGAACCACTGTCCTGGCCAGCCCCAGTCTTCCTGCCCCAGGCCAGCAACAGCTCCCCAGCGTGACCAGCCAGGCCTCACGTGGTTCACTCTGAGCAGCCAACACAAACACTGGGGGGTGCAGCAGGGCCCTGGCCCCGCGTCCACAAACAGGGGAGCTTTCTTATGCCTGCAGGCGCAGCTCAGGGGAGGCCAGGGTGTCCTCCTTCGCACTTGGGCACATTGTGGGCGCCTGCGCCTCCTGGCAGGAAAGCCAGGGCTTGTATGAGACTCAGCTGCCCCCATGCAGACTGCCCCAGGGCTGGCTGCGTGGGCACATGGCAGTTCTGGGAGGAGCCAAGGGCTCTGTTGCCTGGCACCACCTCCCTCTCCTCTCTGCAGAGCCAGGGCTAGCAGGCACGCCTCATGGCCTCCTCCAGCTGGTGCACATTTGAGAGCATCTCAAAGGCACTGTCTTTCACCGCAACTGCAACCAGAGCTGGTCTTGGGGATGTGTGGGGGAATGGACAACACTCCACCCTTTTGTTTATCTTTACTATTTACTTGAGTGGCAAGTAGCCCACAAGACAGACACAGAGACAGCAAGGCTGACAGAGAGCTTCCATTAGCTTGTTCACTCTTTAAGTGCCTGCTTGACAGCTGCAATGGGTGGCATGCGAGTCCAGGGCCATGGAAGTCCCAGAGACCATGGGAGTCCCAGAGACCTGGGAACTCAACCCAGGTCTTGACAGGAAAGTGACAGACATTAGCATGGCCTCTCAGGGGCTGCGTTAGCAGGAAGCTGGCGACAGCAGCTGGAGCTAGGACTAGAACCAGGTGCTTTGACAGAGGTGTGGGGTGCTAGATACAATCCTCATTGGCAGGCAGAATGCCCACCCCAGGTGCTTTTTCCAACGAAGCCAGTCAGTTATAGAAGAGACAGCAAACAGCAAACTGGACTGTCAATGCTACCCTGCAGATTTAATGTCAAGGCATGCAGCAAGGGCATGGGGTCCCCGACTCTCTGTGGGGAGGCTGTCAAGGGGCTGTCCTGGCAGTCCTGGGTGGGAGCCCCAAGCCCGGGATGCCTCCCTGAATGCACAGTGGTGCCTGCAAGGTTGGCAGGGGGATGGGGTGTGGCCTTGCTTCCTGTGTGTGTCACTCTGCGATCCTAGGGTGGTGGGTGGGTGGGGAGAGCAGAGAGGAGCCCGGGGGTAGCCCCATGGGGAGACAATGGTGGTGATGCTAGGGTCCAGGCACAGTGCACACACATGCCAAGGCCTGGCCCAACTCTCCAAACGTCCCCCTGCAGCTCGCATAGGCAGCACCAGCTGTTGCGCCCTGAGCCCTGGCAGAGACCTTGCAGACCATGAGGCTCCTTCTCACACAGGTATCTGGTTCAGAAGCAGGGCAGGCACTGAACAGAAGTCGAGCACACAGCCCCAAGACAACACGATCCAGGCTTGAGGCCCGCCGTCTCCTAACACACAGCACACCCCAAAGCCAGGACAGCCGGAGGCCCTACCTGCAGCTCAGCCTTGCTCTTCCTGGAGCTCCGGCGGACTGGGTAGAAATCTGTGAGCTTGCGATTCTGCTGCGTTTTCCCTGGAACTCTAGGAGAGAAGGGAGGAGGGGAAAGTGGTATTAAGACAGAGTGCTACACTGTGCCCTGGACACCCCAGGGAACGGTGACCCTCCCATGCCACCACTGAGGTCAGGGTGCAGCTGGGGCCTGCCGATCCCATCAGCTCACCCACCAGCCCGCAGGCTGCATGCTCCCAAAGGGCGCCACCCAGAGGTGTAACCTAAATGGCCTTCGGGACTGCGGCCTCTGCCATGGCAGGTGGTGATGGTGAAGCCTGCGGCCCTGGCAGGTGGTAATGGTGAAGCCTGTGGCCATGGCAGGTGGTGATGGTGAAGCCTGTGGCCCTGGCAGAGGCCCCAGCAAGCCACCCATATGCTCACTTTTTCCGGAGGGCCTGTCTGCTGCCCCTCGGGGGCTTCTTCATGGTCTGCGTGCTGCCAGTCAAGCTGGGAGGCTCGCAGGACGAGGGTGGGGTTTTTGGAGGTTCTGCGGCTTCAGGTTTTTGGTTTGGAAAAGGGGCCAGGGGGCCTCTCCTGGCATCTTTGATCTTGTGTCCCTCGGCCTTTGCTGAACTCCGCAGGGCGTTGCCTCCTGTTCTTTTCTCTGCAGGCAGAGGGTAGGAAACACTGGGTCACTGGGGCGGCAACTGGGGATGTCCCGGTCCTCCACTGCTGCTCCAGTTGCCCGCCAGCGTGCCATATGGGAGGCGGCAGGCGGCAGGTGACAGCTGCCTGGGACCCTGGCGTCTGGGACCCTGCCACTCCCTTGGGAGAAAGGACGGTCAGCGTTCCTGACCCCGAGTTCAGCCAGGCCAGCCCTGGCTGATGAGGGCATCCGGGAAGCACACCAGTGGATGGAAGATCTATTTGTTTCTCTGCCTTTCGTTTAACAAGATGAAAGTGAAATTTACAAAGAGCTTTAAAGACAGGCTCTAGGAGGGAACAAGGATGGCAGGGACGTGAGATGGCAGCATCCAACCTGTGAAGCTGGAAACCCACGAAAGGCTACCCAGGAAAAAAGCCCAGCTCTACTTTTTTGCTCAACACACTGGGCAGAGGCCTAGAGCTTCTGCATTTTTTTTTCCCTAAAGATTTTATTCTTATTGGAAAGACATATTTCCAGAGGAAAGACAGAAAGATCTTCCATCTGCTGGTTCACTCCTTAAATGGCCACAACAGCTGAAGCTGAGCCGATCTGTAACCAGGAGCCAGGAGCTTCTTCTGGGTCTCCCACATGGGTGTAGGGGCCCAAGCACTTGCACTAGCCTCCACTGCTTTTCCAGGCATTGGCAGGGAGCTGGATGGAAAGTGGAACCACGGAATTGAACCAGTGCCCATATGGGGTGCTGGTGCAGCAGGCAGGGGCTCAGCCCACTACACCATCTCCCCTCCCCGAGCTTCTGCATCTAGACATGGAAGGGTGAAGTGCCACAGACAGCAGGGCTGGTGTGGGAGCTTCAGAAACTGGGCTGTACATCTGAGCAGGCAGTCCCTGATCCTGAAGAGCAGACTAGCAGGGGAGAGAAGTGGAAGCTTGCCCCAGAGCTGCCTGGATGGGGCAGAAGTTGCAGCGTAATGGGTTAAGCTACTTCACATGGGAGAACCAGGCCTGGTACTGGCTCCCCTGCTTCCAATCTAGCTCCCTGCTAACGCACCTGTGAAACAACTAATGCTGGCCCACATACTTAAGTTCCTACCAGCTAATGTGGAGTTCCTGCTTCCTGTTCAGCCTGGCCCACCTGGGGCTTTTGAGGCGATCTGGGGAAGTTGTGTGTCCTCTGGCTCTGGCCAGCATGGAGGTGGGGGGACACAGGCCAATGGCTGGTTTGTAGCAACAGGTGTACAGCGCCCATGCGAGCAAACTGTTTGCCCTCTGGGTTTACTTTGCAAAGTTAAGTCGGTAACACACCCCTGGCAGGAACACGGAATGGTGCGGCCCTCTTGGAAAACACTGGCGGTCCTCCAAAATGCTCAACACCACGTGACCCAGCCATCCACTCCGACGCATCCACTCAGAATTAAAAACACGTGTCCACATGAAACTAAACTCCAGTGGCCGGTTCCAGGGGACAGGCCAGACCCTATCCGCCAAGGAACCACACACAAGGCAGTCTCCATCCATGACGAGACACGAAGCTGGTCACACACTACAACATGGAGGAACCCAGGAAACGGGCTGCGTGCACAAAGCCAAACGCAGGAGACCATGAGAAGCGAGTCCAGAGGGGCAAACTCGGGGAAGCCCAGAGCAGCCTAGGGCTGGGCACTGGGGCGATGAAGAACATTCTGGAACTGGTTAATGGTAATGACTGCACAATTCCAGAAGCATACTAAACACCGTCATTTACTCTAGAAAACCATGGACTTTGCGATATATTATACCTCAATAAGCAAGAGAAACATGAATACGTGGCAAGCACCCAACTCACCTGCACCCTTCCTGGGTGGCATTAGAGGCTGTGGGCAGAGCCCCAGGAGTGTGGAACACCCCTGAACATCACCCACCCCACTTGCTTTATGGCAGAAATCACATAGGTCTGTCCCTGGGGATCCCCAAAACACATCTGTCTCGGGGTCTGAGCACATTCGTCTGACAACATTCCAAATCCACTGAGCTAACCTGGGCACTCTGTTACCACCAAGTAGGACAATATACAATTGGTCTCATTCTGCCCCCTCCCGATGTAGTGGGGCGCCAGTTCTGAGAGCTCAGGGGACGTGGGGCACAGCCCTGAGGTATCTACACCATAGCTATCCGAGGGCGAGCAGCCAAGCTCCCCTTCCCCAGTCTGTACCAGGTAGCCCCAGAACTCTGGGGGGCTTCAGCAGGGTCAGAACCCAGGTTAAGACCCTTGGGGGAAATGCCCCGGCCCTTGGGGAACCCTCACTGGTGACACAGTGAGAACACGAGAACAAGTGCCTGCCTAGGAGGGAGCGTTCAGCTTATTGCACACAGCCAACTGCCTTGCATTTCCTGGTTCAGTATGAACATGGAGCATGCTGCCGAACCAGGGCGAGGCCAGCTCCTGGGGGAAGGGACAGCCAGTGGGTGGCCCAGGCTCACGCTCTCTGTCCCCGCCCCCGCTCACTGTAAGCCTCTCTCCTGGCATGCCCAGTGTGGCTATTTTTTTTCTTTTTTCTTTTTTTTTTTTTTTGCAACGTGGCAAAACCAGCAGGACCGAAGGGCACACTGACTCACGTGAGGGCAGGCAGAACCCGTCAGACTGCACGGTGCAGGCCCTGAGGGGCAGGCGACTGGCCGCTGTTTGCTCCTTGGGAGCCAAGATGGAGCCCCGGGCTCAGACCTCTCCCACCCGCACACCGGACCACAGAACGAGGCTGTGGTCCGTTCTTACCTTCTCGCTTCCTGTAGATCCCAGCTAGCGGCTTCCCTGGGCATCTGACTTCGTAATGTGCAACCGAGTTCTCTTCCTGAAGGGGGGAACGCATTCCGGAGCATTTGTTCGGGCTCATGTAGGAATAGATCTTGGGCTGCCCGGTAAACACATTCTCCTAAAAAAACAAATGGGTATGCTGAAGGAGGAAGATCCCATCGCGTGGAAGGAGAAGAGAGGAAATGAGAATGCAAAACAGAGCTTGCTCCACCGCTGGGAAATGCAGCTGCTGCCGGGCCAGTCCTCTTGGGAGGGTGCCGACAGCTCAGGAATCCCCCGGGGCCCCAGCACCTGCCATCTCTAGCTCTTGGCCACCCGGGGGGCATCTGCCCCGTGTGCTCAGAGGGAGGTGACCTACCAGCAGCCAGGAACAGGTCGGAATGACCCAGGACAGGCAGACAGGGCGGTGGAAGGGTTGAACGTGTTTGGGCGTCAGCTCCCCTGGCAGGGCCCAGAGCCACTTGGAAGAGGCCTGGGGAACCTGACTGACCACTGGATCCTGAAGTCAGCCGGAAGGGGCTGCTCAGAGCTGGCTGGCCCCTCCTGGTCACTGCAGCCCAGCAGCTGCCAGGGACCCTGGCTGCCTGGAGACTTCTGGGGGAAGGAGCTGGAACGCAGGCTGCGACCGGCCCATTTAGGGCAGTGGCTCTGCTGTGAGCCACACCCAGGGGATGACCACACGGAAGGGAGTGGGCAGGCCACCGGGCAGCCTGGGGCACCGCACTGGCTGCTTGCTTTCCCTTGCGTGGGGTCGCTTCCCCGGAAACGATACTGGGACCTTGAGTGGTGAGCCACGAGGGCGCACGGTCGGGGAGCCCAAGAGCTGGCTAGCCGGGAGGGGGCCAAGTAGGCCTCCGCTCCCCGCACACCCTGGAAAGGCAGCCACCCCGGGGAAGCTAGGTTTCAGCACTGGGAACGCCATGAAGGCAAACTTTTCTGAGGTCAAGCAGCGCCAGGGTCATGGCGCAGCCAAGCGTTGCCGCCACTCCCCGCCAGGCAGCAGAAAGGAAGCGGCCCCGGGCCCGGGCGCCCCAGGGCGGCAGAGGGGGGCTCCCCCGGGCGGGGCGCGCAGCGGGAGTGCGGGGAGGGTGCCTGCTTACCCCGTCGGTGCGGGGCCTCCCCGGACCCCTCCGCTCCACCATCTCCGGGCCCGGGGCCGTCGCTGCCACCGCCGCTGCCGCCGCCGCCGCCTCCACCGCGCGGGGCTTGGACATCTTCCTGCCTGGAGAGGGGGACCCGGGGGAAGCGGGGGAGGGGGCGCTCAGGGCGCGGTGGGGCGGGGAGCGGGGCCGCCCGGCCCGGGTGCCGCAGCCATGTTTCGAGAGCCCGGCGGCGATGGGCCGCCCGGGGGAGAGGCGGGGGCTGGCCGGCCGACCGGGCCAGGCCGGTGGGCCCACGCTGCCCTCCTGCCGCCGCCCGGCCCGGGCAGGCCCCGCCCGCACCCCCCCAGCTCGCCAGGCCCGACACACCCACCTGCAGCCCAGCCAGGCCCATGGCGGCGCGCCCTGCGCCCTCGCCGCGGCCCGGCCACCACCGCTGCCGCTGCCTCTGCTGCTGCTGCTGCCGCCGCCACCAGCGTCGCCGCGGCGCCCCGGGGAAGGGCCGCCGGCGCCCCACGGCACCCCCTTCCCCCATGGCCTGCGAGCGGGGCCCTGCACCCACGCGCCGCCGCAGCCCCGGGCCGCCCGGAGCCAGGGACGCGGGAAGGGAGGCGCAGGCGGCGCGTCCTCCGCGGCCCGCCCGCTCGCTGCCGCCCACCGTCCGGCTCCCAGCCCGGGGAGGGGCTGGCAGGGGCGGCGCTGGAGGCTCCGCACCGAGGGCGGGCGGGCCGCCCGCGCGGCCTGGACGAATCCCGGCTCGGGCGCGCCCCCTCGCGCGCGAACTCAAGCACACGGGCAGGAAGGGGTGGGAAACTCGATCCTAGCAGCCCTGGCTCCCAGCTGGCCGGCTCTCTGCTGCTCCCGCTGGCTCAGCGCATGTTCACGCCAGAACGCGACGGACTAGGGCCCTGGAGCTCTCTGCTCCCAGGCGTGAGCCAGAAGGGGATGCCGAGTTGCCAGGGATATCCAGCGGGGTCGCCGGGGGCCGCAGAACCAGGAAGTGACTGCACCAGGGTGTCAGCTCTGGTGTCAGTTAGCCGGTAGGGGTCCCTGGGGAGCCTCAGGCAGGGTTTTACATTTTCTGGGTGCTTCTCTTTTCAAACCTCAAATGGCCCAAGGAGAGAACAGAGCCTAACTATCCTTGAGGAAGATTGGCCACGTTTACAGAGGTTTGCAGCCCTGGCCGCTGTACCCAGAGCCAGGCACGCCGGCTGTACTGCACACTGCGGGGCTGCAGGGCTGCGGGGCTCACAGCCAAAGAACGGTTGTATTTGTGCAAAGTCACAGAAGTAAGATGAAGATGCTGCCTCTCTCCCTCCCTCCCTGCCAGGCTCCTGTCTGGGAGCCAGGACCCCAGCACTTTCCCAATCTGGGCTTCACTGTCCTCCAGGGTGAAAACCAAGCACCTCCAGTCCCCTAACTCACCACCCACCTCACCCCCTGCACTCTCAGAACCCAACCAAACGGAGAGCTGTGTGATAAGGGACAGGCTAGAGTAGGATTAAGTGCCAGGACCCAGCTCTCACTTCAGCATCCTTTGAAGCAAGGGTCCCACCCCAGCCCCTAACCACTAACCCCGGTGGGACAGGGGACTCTGCCCAAGTTCTCTGCCATCTCTATTCAAAAGGGACACTCTGACACCAGGATGGGCCATTTGAAAGTGCCTTCAGGGACTGGCACCGTGGCGTAGCACCTTAAACCTAAGCCTGCAGGGCCGGCATCCTATATGGGCACCGGTTCAAGTCCTGGTGGCTACACTTCAGTTCAGCTCCCTTGCTTGTATCATGGAAAAGCAGTGGAGCATGACCCCAAACCTTGGGACCCTGCACCCGCCTGGGAGACCCAGGGGAAGCTCTTGCTCCTGGCTTCAGATCAGCTCAGCTCCAGCCCTTGCATCCAGTTACGGAGTGAACCAGCAGATCTCTCTGTTACTCCTTCTTCCTTTGTAACTGTCTTCCAAATAAAAAGAAAAGGAGGCGCCCTGTCTCTGCAGGGCAAAGTTGCTTTGTCATCAGTCGATAGACTACTACAGGAAACAGTCTGGGAGCAGCTGCCAACCATCTTATCTACCTCACATACTTGAGTTCTTTGGTCTCTGCCACCCATAGGTGGGACCAAGATAGAGTTCCAGGCTTCTAGCATCAGCCTGGCGTAGCTCTGGCCTTTGGGTTCATTAGAGAATTAAGCCAGCACATAGAAGATCCTTCTCTATCTCTCCCTTTTTCTCTGTAACTCTGCCTTTCAAACAAACAAATCTTTAAAAAGTAACAACTTGGGTTTGGCACTGTGGCAGAGCCTCTGTCAGTGGCATCAGCATTCCTTACGGACACCGGTTCAAATCCCAGAGTTTCCACTTCTGATCCAGCTCCCTGCCAATGTGCCTGGGAAAGCAGTGGAGGGAGGCCCAAGTCCTGGACCCCCACGCCCACGTGCCTCTAAGCAGCCAAGTTCTAGCACTTGTGGCCATCTGGGGAGTGAACCAGTGGATGGAAGATCTCTCTGTTACCCTGCCTTTCGAATAAAAATCAATAAATCTAAAAGAGTAACACCAACTCAGTTGTGGCTAATCCTTGTTGAGTATTTAGGACATGTTCTAGAGGGCCTCTTGGACTCATTTGGTCAACTCTCCCCACACTCTATGACATGGAGCTAGGAGTCTGATTTCACCCCACTAGGGGTCAGAGTCAACATTACTTAGCTGAGAGTTCTGAGAAGTTCTGAAGTTGGGATCTGAACCCTGTTCTGCTCTAATAAGGTACTTTATCATTAAAAACGCATATTGAGGGCCCTGTGTGATAGCCTAGTGGCTAAAGTCCTCACCTTGAACATGCTGGGATCCCATATGGGCAGTCCCGCTTCCCATCCAGCTCCCTGCCTGTGGCCTGGGAAAGCAGTCAAGGACAGCCCAAAGCCTTGGGACCCTGCACCTGTGTGGGAGACCCAGATGGGGCTACTGGCTTCGAATTGGCACAGTTCTGGTTGTTGCAGTCACTTGGGGAGTAAATCATCAGATGGAAGATCTTCCTGTCTCCTCTCTGCATATCTGACTTTGCAATAAAAATAAATCTTTAAAAAATTGTAATATTGCTTCTTGCAAGTCCATACACTAACATATGGATGGATTTATTCAAGAGACATTTATTGAACACAAACTTTGTTCCTGGTCTGGTGCTAAAAATGCAAACCAAGACCACGGGCCATGCTGTGATGTGGCAAGCTAAGCCTCCACCTATGGCATTTGCATCCTAGATGGATGCAGGTTGAGTACTGGTGGCTTCATTTCTGATGTGGCTCTCTGCTAATGTGCTAGGGGAGGTAGTGGAAAATGGCCCAAGCACTTGGGCCCAGTGCACAGGCTAAAGGCAGGAGGTTGGGAGGGCCACGTGGCAAAATAATACACTCTCAAGGACCACTCCTGCTAAGTGATAATGAACTAGAGATGGCCAAAAAGGAAGCAGGGGACCAGCCAGGAGGCCACACTGCAGGGCCAGCCAGGAGGGTCACACTGCAGGGCCAGCCAGGAGGGTCTCACTGAGCAGGGCCAGCCAGGAGGGTCACACTGCAGGGCCAGCCAGGAGGCCACACTAAGCAGGGCCAGCCAGGAGGGTCTCACTGAGCAGGGCCAGCCAGGAGGGTCTCACTGAGCAGAGCCAGCCAGGAGGCCACACTGAGCAGCAGCTCATAGGGAATGAAAAGGATGCACTGACGTTCTCTAGGCTATAAATAATTGTGAGATTATGAAGCCTCAAGACCAAAGAGGATTTGTCTGGTAACCACATGGTGCGTCCATGTGATCCAGCAGGACTCCTAAGCCTCAAGTTTGGAACAAAGATAAACTTTCTAGAAGAAAAACACTGACCCCCTTACTTCCAGAACCATCCATGATCCAGCACTCACAATCCTCGCTGTCTGATTTAACTGTCTGCAAGAGTCAAGCGAGATGGTGGTCTCAAAGCCCACCTATAAGCCTGCACTGGGCCCTGACTGGGAAGCGTGGAAGGGAGGTCCAGTGGCATGGCCGCTCCTGGACTTGGGGCCCCCACCCCTGAGAAGCAGACCAAGCTTAGTGGGGACCACAATGCGCCTGGCCCTCCGTGGAGCGTCACCATTTGCCTGTATGAGAAGTCTTCCAGTGCTCCAAGGCTGGTCTAACCCTGCAGGGTGGACTAACTTATGAAAGCTTTTTCTATTTTTTTTCCCCCAAAGCATTACTTTTGAGACAAGCAGCTGACCTGATGTCACCAGGACAGAGAACACACACCCCGGCCCTAAAGTTTTAATAAATGTCAGAGAAGATACTCAAGTGTGGGGGACAGTCATGTTGGGTGTGTACTAGGTGAGGGCAGTAGTGGAAGTCAGCTGGCCAGGGCTGCACTGATGCCGCAGGCTGTGGGTCCCAAAGGACCCCGGGAGGGCTGCCGGGCCTGACCCAGAGGCGCCCAGCCACTGTCTGCTCCCTCGTGTAGGGCTCAGTGCTCCCTAACGTGGTGTTATGGGGGGAGGGGGGGGAAACGG